GGTTTTGGTATATGATTCTTTGCTGAAAAGAAATAAAGAAGCTCCTTTTTAAAGAGCTACAGGAAAACGGTTATGGGGATAAGCCAAAAGAACCTCCTTAAGCAACATCAAGAGTGGGACTACATCTCAAAAAAAGTAATGCTTTGCACATGGTGGGACTACAAAGAAATTGTATGTAATGAATATGTTGCTATCGAACCATACAATAAATTCAGAAAAATATTGTTCCCAAAAGGTATTTTTAAAAGCAGAAATTGAAGCAAAGTTTTCCAGAACAGACAAACTGTCAAGATATTGGCTTTTATCATGGTTAGCCACAAATTTTGGTGAATGTCACACAAATATTTATTGAGTATGATTAGGATGCTTTGTGTCACATTCCATATTCACTGGACCTTCTTCCATTGTATTTCCATCTCTTCAGATCACTGGAATATTCTCTGAATGGCCTAACGTTCATTTTCTTTATAAACCCTCAAACAGCACTCTCGATAAATTTTACAAATAAGCCTAATGACTTTTATTAAAAATTAACTTTCCCACTGCCGGAAAAGTGGCAAAAAACCACAAAACAAAATAGTGCTTATACGATTCAATGAAATTTTCTGATGTTTTTGTAATTTTCATTTGTTTTTATAATGAAAAAACTGCAGAACATTCCGATTGATGCAATATTTTTTCGCTTTATATTTCTAGAGGGAACAAATGAATTGCTTTTCATGAAGAGTCCCCAGTTATCTGTATGGAATTAAAATAACTTCTTGTTCCCAATAATCTGGTCATATTATCAAATTCAAAAGGTTGATTCACAAACTATTGGATCAAGTGAAACTTTAGCGTCAGATTTGCAAATACTGTTTTCTCTTTCACTGAAACTTGTTATTAACTGAAGATGCAGGGGGAAAATAATTTGTTCCAGTGGATTCCTAGTCACTGCGATATCTAGAATAAAAAGCGGAAAAGTATACTAGCACAAAGGGGCATAAAGCAACAGATGAATATACAAAACTCTTATCCCGTTTCTATTCATAAATGCATAGGCAGAATGAACAGCTATTAATTCATATTTCTTGCAAGAGCTGGAAATCATTTTGGATTAGAAATACAGTATTTCCTCTTATATTTTTTATTAATTTTATTGTTCAAAAATCAAGATGGGTAAATTATGTGAGAAATTTAATTTTGGAAAAATGAATGAAAACATCAAAAATATAATGAATGAAAAGTATTCATGGATAAACTATCAGAAACAAACGAGAGGAATATGACCCGATCCACCTGGTCTAAAAAACTACCAGATAGATAAATTTTAACCAATAAGAATACACAGTAAATTCAATATCTAATACATATTGAACCAATATCTGATGTTAACTGAGCTGGCTGCGCGACGTGTTTGGCTCAATGGCCCTGTAAAATTCGGGGGGCACTTCACATGAATGAATCTTGGCCGCAGTTCTTGGAAGTGAATCGGAAGAATGAATAAGGGCACAAACAAAAGACCCAGATTTGAAACATCAAATGCACCAGAAGTAGACAAGGCTACAAATGAGCTGGAATATTACAGAAGTAAAGTAAAATCTCATATTTGGAAAGTCTCCTGAGGGTAAGAACACCTGCCATGTCCGGATAATTTAACAAAGAATCGGCATAAAATAGATTTTAAATGATAAATGCAAAGGAAAATAAAACCAATGAAATGCTAACACAGAAATGTAAATATAAATTGAATACACTGAATAAAAATAATCAAGAGAACATAATTTATCAATAAACTAGCCCTTAATGGTTATATACAACAGAAGAACTGGGAAACTAGTGTGAATATGTTTTTAATTTAACCGAGAGCTAAAAAGCTGGGGGGATATGGAAGGATGTACAGTAGTAAATAAACTTTGTGTGCAAGTACAGTTGCAAAATTCAGACACGCTGTTGGACAAGACAGTCTAATAAGTCATCTATATCTATCAATCATTCACTGGCGTCTTAACAAATCCTGACTATTTGCTTTGTGGGCAAGCTGAAGAACTGAACCGGACTCATATTATGATATGTTTGAGATAATGTGCAGTCTTTGAGATGACGAGATACTGCAGTAATAGAAACTGGTGAAATACTGACTTGTTTTTCTTGTTTTGAGCTTCATAGTCTTCCTCTTAAATGCTAGTCTTATCTGGTAAAAATTTTAAAAATAAGTACATATATATTCTTCGTTTTTTGAAAGAATATTAACCCATTTTATCCCAATGTTCTATTTAAAGGACAACTGAAAAATAGCACGTAGAAATCAGTAATTGCTAGGTGCGAATATTTTGCCAGCTGGAATATATAGGGATATGTATTAGCATCTGCTAGCGTGAGTTATGTGTCTCGCCCCTTCCTACTTCCTCTGGACATTTTGATTATTCATCGCATTAGTGGGCGTGGTTTGTATCCTCTCTTTGTGGTTGCAGAATTCGTTTTCAGTTTACTTTGGACACTCGGCTGGGCATTTTGTTTAAAGAATTATGCAAGTCAACAGAAAACAAGACAGACTGACAGTAAAAAAATTTATTGCCATATTGCATAAAAGTTCTAGAAATCATTTTTAATCTTAATATTCTTAATTAAGTTGTATAAAAATGGTCCGGAGTTTTCAAACTCAAATATTTTGAAATACATTCTTCATGCCAAATAATAATTGTAATTTCACACTAATTTCCATATAAAAAATACTTTAACAATCATACTCCAGTATTAGGACAATCAGAAAGATAAAAAATATTAAGCTGAGCTTAAAGAATATTTTGTAATCTCTTCCACATAAATAAAATTGAAAGCGTTATTTTAAATATTGCAAATAAAATTGAAAAACTAAGGTATTGCACAACAGAAAATGAAATACTGCAATATCAAGGAATAAAATGATACCAATACTAAAAAAGAATGATTTCATTTATGACACAGATAATGATTATAAACCTCTGTAAAGTATAAATTAGTTATAAAAATAAATTTTTCATATGTACACCGTACCAAAACTAAGATGTGTTAAATAACCATGATAACATAATGCACAATAATATGATGTTAGTCTTAAATAACCTTCACACACCTTACAGAAAATAAATCATTATAGCATTACACATAGTTATTCATGCATATATTACTCACAAATCAATGCCAGAAATCCAAGCATGGCATAGCTAATATTACACAAGCATGTGTTTTATACAGTCAAAAATCTACATAATAATGTATCTATGTAAAAGGCATCGATGGTGGGAATGAGACAGTTCAGTACAAAATGAGAAAACACACATATTTTACATGTATATGACATGCCTAAAAATAAAATAATTCAAAAATATCAACCAAATATTTTTTTTAATTATGATCTTTCAACATTTGAAGAGTATTTAAATATTTAGTGGCTTGCTGCGAAACCCAGTAAGTAGATTTGTGATTCATTTGCTTGATAACGTTAAATAGAAAACTGCTTTCACTGAAACATTAAAGGAAGACATACTTCAGTAAGGCAACTACTTCCCAATGTGCACTTAAATGCCTTATTACATAAAAAATTATACAAGTCCGTATCCAGATTTTTAAAATTAAAACCCATGATTATTCACTTCCCGCTAATTATCTAATTATCTAATAATATTGCTAATTATCAATCATTTCACCTTAAATAATTTTAAAATTTAATAATATATTACAAATTCAATAAGTAAAATGCAAACTTACATCATTGGTTTAAAAAGTTCATTTTGGAAAGCAATTAAATTTGAATTCCATTCATACACATGAATGGCATATCTTAGGCATACTAGTTTTACATTCCTATGTTATTTTAGCTATTCCTATGTTATTCCTATTGCTCAGATAACAATAATAAGGAAACTGAATAAAATTATAATAAATATTATGAATGAGGTAAGCTTGAACAATATGTACTGATCCTGAAAATACCGTCATAAACTTGATTCAAGAATGAATACTTTACATTCCATACTAAATATAAATTTTAATTCACATTCACTCACTGCCCCCCACACACTTGAATAATGACTACACACCATTCATGATGTAATTAAAAAAAAAGATACAGTCAAAAGTCGTTAATTCGGACTCGTCGGGACTTCGGCGATTCCGGATTATCGATTATCAGTTTAAATCTGGTAAGATGGCATGCAGAAATTATACAATTAAAAATATGAAACCGTAATTTATGAAATAAAGAACAATTCTGATCTAAAGGGTATCAAAATTTACAAAAAAAAAGCTTAATATTTATTTGTTTCCTTTATTAAACATTTCTTTCAATGCAAGTTGTTTAAGTTGCTTCGTTTTATGTAATAATACTTTCTCTTTAATTCTATAAACAGACATAATTTCTTCTTCAGTTACAAAGTTCCACTGTTCAAGTCCTATAATTGCTGTGTCGAGAATACCGACTAATTTGTCAATCGAAATTTTTTCGTTTTCAATAACCTCCGTGTCACTTTCTTCACTATCGGAAGCGAATTATAATGATTTGATTTAAATCATATCAAAGACGGAGTACATCGAGATGAAATACTACATTTAGTAAAGAATTATAAGCCGAATAAAATTAAAATATCTGCCCTGAAGGTAAGGACAGTGCTGACAGATAAACTTCCAATTCATAGTGCGCCGCGGCTTCCCCCCCCCCCCCCGCGTATAATTGGCAAGAAATAGCTGGCTGTAGCGCCTCATTTCACAAATTGGAATTTTTACATATTTTTATTTTTGAAACTGAGACTGATTGTTAACAATTTAGCATATTTACCAAGCATAATTAGCGTTCCAAATAATTACAAAGCTATTGCATGCTTTCAGGGCTGGCTATTTTTTTCGCTTTTCCTATGCTGTAAGGAAATTTCTAACTACTTCTTTTAGAAAATAATATTTTAAATCTGAACTAATATAAAATTTCAAACAAGCAATTTTCTCTTCCAATTTTTATTAGTGTAAGTAAGTAAAAAATACTAAAATATTTAAAAACGAATTTTTTAAAGTTTTGTTTAAAATTCTAAGTCGTGCTGCTTTTTTTTTAAATTATAGATGAGTATTATAGCACAATTTCTATAAAGGAATTTTATTTCAATTATATTTCCTCAGCTGCCTAGGCATCATCCTTGGCAGCTGAGGATGGTGGTTCGGTAAAACCATCGAAACTAGTCCTGTGAAAATTTTGTAAATATAACGCTGGTTTTTGTTGTTTGACTTCTGAATGATGAAATATATATGAAACTGTGAATATAATTAATGAAACTGAGCTTAGTGAGTGACCAAATACTGTGATCTAGTATCTGCATGACAGGGAAACATATATTTATTATTTTGGGGAAGCATCCATTACATTTGATGCTGGGAGACTCTTTTGTTTGTAGGTAAGTCCTCCTCTGCTTCTCATCCACATGTTCTAAATACCAGGTTTTGGGAAACAGATCTTCCACCTTTCCTACGGGTGTGTAAGGAGCTGAAAACATAGTAGTAATAATAATCAATAAAATATTGGCAGGCATGTATAAAACTAAAAACTATTAATTTACTACAAGGTGTTTTATTAACATTATACATATTGCAGTTTCATAAATAATTAAATCATGTGACTAAAAACACTTAACATGTCACAATATCCAAATTACATATATTTATATTCTTTTAAGTTTATTGCCTTTAAAAATCATTAATGAATATGATACATCAATATACATGAAAATATGATAGCATTACCTAAAACACATACCGTGCTTGCCAACGTATAAGACGTACTTTTGTCTTTGAAAACAGGTCTGAAAACTTAAGTGCATCTTATATGTGGATACTACGTCATATACGTTGATACGTCGTTTGTGAATGGGTCAAAGTGTCAAGAGATGCTGTGAAAACAGAGAAAATGGTTAAATCATTTAAGAAGTGTGGCATTAATAATGCAGTGGATGATACAGGGAACAATTTGTTGGATGAGAATGCAGATGCTGATTTAGAAGATGTTTCAAGTGACTCTTCATTTAGCTCTGGAGATGAGTGTCTGGTTTTTGACAAAGGAGATTAAAAGGTGTTCTTTCCCAAATAAATTGGATATTTTCAGAAAGTATAACAAGTATTACTTTGTATTCGTCTTACTTTATATTTAAAATATTGTAAATTCATTATAATGATCAGTATTAAAGTTTCATCCTTCAAAAATGTGTATAAAAAAGGGGGGCGCATCTTATAGGCTGGTGCGTCATATACGCCAGCAAATACGGTAATTATTTCAAAAAAGTAGATGCATAATTAAGTTTTTGATACATTTACAAGTTACAACCTTATTTTTTGGCACTTCTAAGAGAGCATCAATAAGTAAAAAAAATTACATATTTTAAAATTTACACACTAAAAAAATGGCATTTTACTTATTTTCAAATACAAAATTTGCGTAAGAACTTACAAATATAAAATTTGTGACATAAAACATAACTTCACCCTAAGGGATTTTTTTTTAAATCCCTGTTCCCAATAGCCTTGGTAATGAAAACCATACCTTGATGGTGAGTGGCATTCCTGAGTTTCAGAATTTCTGTGAATTTCTCTGGACTTACTTTCCTTCTGTTCGTAAGTCTAGATTTGATGTTTTGAAGACTGTCGTGCAAGTAACGTAACTGAGAACCTTTCATGATATCATCCGTAAAACGAAGGGAAAACAGAGTGGCAGCCAAACCAGAGCCATAAGAAAACATTCCTACTCTAATTGCTTTTAAGTCTTCTATTTTTTGACTAAAAATTAAAATAGTAAAAATCATGCATTTATAAAAAGAAGTAATGGAGAAGAACAAGATTATGAACTTATTTAAATCATGTGCATAATATGGATACAGATAATTTTGAAACTATTTAATCTCTTCAAGCCTCTTGCTGTCAGTTCTTTTCAAGACTTAAGTAGATTAAGCTTTGATCACAAAAATATGGCTTATGAGCTTTTTTAGCATCAAATAAGGAAAAGAAGTCTGATCAAGAAATAGCTCTGTTTGAAAGAATTTATATTCTTTAAAGAAAACAAATCAATAAACAATTTTTTTTATCAATGATTCAGTGTTTTATTCCATTCTTTAAATCATTGATTTTGAACTAGGATTGTCAAATTTTTTAGAGCAATTCTGAGTAAATATTTTATTTCATATAACAGCATTCACCATTTCAAATTCTACACTAACTTAACAGTTTCTACTAAATGTTTCAAATTCCTCTTTAATGGTACATATTTTAGTGTGTGGATTAAATGTTACATATTCCTAGCTGATTTATTTAAATAGTATTTAATCAATACTATTTAAAAAGTGAAACTATGATCAAGCTTTTGGAAAATACACATGCAAACTCCTGTAATTCAATTGTGCTTCCTTTAACATTAAATTAATCTTATGTGTCCCTTTATAGCAACTATGCAAATAACTCAATGGATACTGAAAACATAATCTGAACTAATCTTAATTTCTATATTCCTTTCCCCCCCATACTCTTCTTGCCTTATTTAAACTTTAACCTTAACTAAACCTCATTTATTGATAAAGCTATTTTACAAGACAGTAAACTTAAAGGTAAAGCAGAGAACCACATTTGTAAAGAAACAAAACAACCTGATATAATTTTTGAAAAAACTCTATGTTATTTTTCTAACATGAAACTTTTCATAATGTTCAGTATAGATTAAGCAGGTCTGACAACAATTTACAGTTGAATAACTGGTGAAAGTAATCTGTTAATAGATCTCCATTCCAGAACATAAAAATCTATAATATTCTATCAAATACTACAGTTAAAAGTCTTTAATCCGGACATCCATAATCCGGAATGATCCATAATTCGGACCTCAAAGCTACAAACTTTCTGCGCATGTGTTAACGCATAATGCGTTGATGCGCATAATACGTTTACGCATGCGCATTTAATGTGTAACGGACGGTATAAGCTAAGCTAAAATTATCTAATTATCTATTTCAGTTAATGTTGCAGATTGTGTTGTTCCTTAATCCTCTAATTGGATCTGGCTTATTTATTTTTTGCAGATTGTTAGAGCAATTTTATAAAAGTAAGCTTGAACTTTATGTCAAAAAGAATTTTCGATTGTGGAGCTGCCTAAGGATCTACAAAGCAAAAGCATGTTTCGATGTCCATCAAACAAAAAGTATAATTGCTGCAAAAAAAATGGATAAAGGCATATCCTTTGTTTCTCTAACCATTCCGAAATCTGTTTATGAATTTCACGCTGTTCTGCCGGGGAAGGGCGCAATGAGCTGGAAGTTGATCTGTCAGCACTATCCTTATCTTCAGGGCAGATGTTTTCATTTTATTCAGCTTATAATTCCTTACTAAATGTAGTATTTCATCTCGATGAACTCCCGTCTTTGATATGATTTAAATCAAATTCCTCGTCATTATAAATATCATGAATACACATCAAATAGTTTTCTGGTTGCAGTTTTCTAATTTCGACTATGCGTAATGTATGCTTTACGTATGCACGCATTTCAAGAAATGTTTAATAAAGTAAACAAATAAATATTAAGCTTTTTTTTGTAAATTTTGATACCCTTTAGATCATAACTGCTCTTTATTTCATAAATTACGGTTTCATATTTTTAATTTATAATTTCTGCATGCCATCTCACCAGATTTAAACTGATAAACTGACGTAAAAACCGATAATCTGGAGTCGCTGAAGTCCCAACGAGTCCAGATTAAAGACTTTTGACTGTATATAATAGTCATGAATTTAACACCACAAAATAGGTTTTTCTTAAAGAGAGGAAATGCAACCCTGGTCTCAACAACTTTCTTCCAACTTACTGAAAATTAGGTTTTTTATCTTCAAATTTATCATTCAAATTCCTTTTCCACTCTATATAATAAATGAAGCAATTTCAGAGAAATGTTGCTGCACAACTGTTATTTAAACAGAGATAGCTTCATCAAATAAATATCATGATAATTCTTTTCGACAGCTTTAAAACAACATTTTAAAATTACTTTACTTAAAAACCACAGGAATGAAATATTCTAATAACTGTGCCTCCACCCTTAACTCCCCATCCTCCGAAAAAAACTCAGTGCAACAAACACTGTCCTAATATCTGAAGCTTATATTTGTTTTTCACACAAAACTTTTTTGTATATGTGTGTGTGTGTGTGTGTGTGTGTAACTTTCTGATAATTTTCTATATTTCATTTCCAAAATGGAAACTTTCGTGCCCCACCAATTTCGCATTATTTTCGTTGGCATTAATAAGTACATCACTTTCACATAGTATATTTAACTTTCAAACCTTTATATCAGTCTGCCTGATGATAATAATTACTTAGGAGATTGGTGATTTCACAATATACCCTATAGCCTCAGATACAGAAATACAGTGGAACCTTGAGATACGAGCATCTCTATATACGAGAAATTCGAGATACAAGGAAAGTATGAGTGAAAAATTTGTCTCTAAATATGAACAATGAGGAAGGTTGTTGGTATGCATGGCACCATTTCCTGATCCGGCGCAACTCGGGGGAATCCCTCCGAATTACTTTTGCCTGAAGGAGAATTCTAACTGTTCATTCTGATAATCCACTTTCTCTAAATTATCTTCGAAAACAGTCCAGTCGATGACACCAGTTCGAAGAGATCTTTTATTCTTAGACATTTTCTCCAATTCTCCTTGTTCGGACTTCCACCACTGAATGCATCGCTCATCAACTTGAAATTCTTTAACCGAGCACGATTTACAATTTCGATCGCTTTCTTCACTGTTGAAAGCTTTAAAAGCAGCTATATAACTTTTTCTTTAAGTAGGAGCCATAATAATAATAATTTTTTAATGATAAGGTAAACAAAAGCAAGCTACGAAGCAGTAAAAACATGTAAGAATGATCACAGCACTTGCCAAGCAAATGTAGCTATTTCCATTAAAAAAAGGGGGTGTCATAGGAAAACACAGGCAAAACCACAGAAGTTAGCAGAAAGTACATGCATTACGATGTCTTTATACAGAACGCCACCTGCCTTAGTTAGGCAAGTTTGAACTTATTGCATTGCCTTAGTACAATCCAAGGTCAGAATATTGCAGCGAATTTTAACATAAACGTTTCGCTTGTGCATAACTTAAAAAATGATGCATAACTTAAAAAAATGACATAACTTATAAACTTGTGCACAACTAATAAACATTAGCATAACATAACTTATAAACTTATGCACAACTTATAAACATTATCATAACTTAACCTGTGCATAACTTTAAAAAATGATGCTAATTCAGATCGTTTATCTGAATTAGCAAAGTTTTAAGGACAAAGGAAAAGTAAAATTCCCTCAGATACGCCACTCCGGCAGATACGATGCACACCTAAATTTTCAACTTTTAAACATGTATAAGCTGCAGCTTGTCTTCCCGAGATCATGGTACATTTAAACTTATGATCAGGAAAAATCCCAAATTCGGAATTGCCAAAGTCATGACGAGTCCGGATCTCAGACATTGTACTATAATGTTTGTAATGCTTGCTGCAGCTTAGATAATGTTCTCAGTGGAGGCAGCTATATGAACAAGAAGTCCCAATATTCTTGTTGAATGCTTACTTAGCTTCTGGATTGGATTAAAACAGTATCTATGGCAGAGTACACTATTAAAGAACAGCCCCTTTTCTGAATTATCATTTTACTTATAATGTCCATGATAATCATTAAAAATAACTTATTTATAAAACAACATAAGTATTTAAACCAATGCATAAGTAGTTAGGATTATTATAATTACCAAAAATCATATATATCAAATTACCTTGCAATAAAAGAAACAAGACAGGCATATAGAGAAGGAGTGTACATGTTGCCCACTTCTTTAGCAGTCAAAAGGCTGGGTTTTGTTTTCTTTTCAAATATAGATTTGCTATGATCCACAAATGCTTTTTCCACTTCTTTATTAAAGTATGTATCCTCCAATTTAAGGTTACTACAATAAAATCGACAACAATTTAGACATATAATGAAAAAATTATTTTGAAAATTTTTCTTAAAAACTTCATATTATTTGAACAAAATAGAAATTCTTATTTCTTATTGAAGTGCATTTAAAATCATTTTTACGTTCTTGATATTTCAAAATAGTGCACAATAACATCATAATCTTAGACTATGCAGGATGTTTAAAAAGATTACTAAATACCATTTAAATTAATTTATCACAGTGGTTCTAATTTAAAAACTGAATCAAAAATCTTTTAGAATGCAACAGTTTTGTTCACATAACAGATTTAGGTAGAAGTAACTGAAACATTAAATATTTCCCTAAAGATTCAAGAGAAAGCAAATTTCAATCCTATTTCAAATTGTTCCCTGTGGATGAAAGAGAAAATAAATTTTAACAGGAAAAGTATTTTTTAGTTTTGGCAAATTAAAAGATCCACTTTCATGCAACCAAAATTAAACAACATATTATTAAATAAATTTCTAAAACTATATAAATACAGAAAATTTCCTAAACTTTTCAAGACAAAATCAACATGGCTTTGCATTTCACCGTTCTAAAGAAAGGGTGAAGAAAACAACTTCTTATCAGTTTTCATATTCTTTTCATGTTGAAATGGAAGAGAGATTTGTAGAAAACGTGATTCAGGATGTTAGAAACAAATATCATAATACAACACTGGGAACAGCCATTTGAAGATGATTTTACCTATCTTGCTAAGAATGGAAATATGCAGAAAATTGGAAAGGTCCTTTTCAGTTAATGGGCACCACCTAAGCCCATTCCTGGCAGGTATGCAGCAAATGCCCTGCATGCAGGTGCCAAATTTAGGGACACCTAATTTGATAAGTACCCTGTAAAGTGAAGTTACCTGTGTAAGGACAAATATATCATCCACTGACTTTTTTGGTCCAAAATTCAGTAAAAATGGTCTTTTTTGTCCAAAGGCCAAAATAAATTATTAAATTATGTATTTATAATTATTACAGAGAGATGAACCAAAAAAACTTGCACATAGGCACTTGAACCCCCAGGAACGTGCCAACATCACCCACCACCAAGCATAAATGCTGGCATGAAATCTAACTGTAAGGAATTGCAGACCTAACTACTTATGCAGCTTCATGAAACAAGAAGAGGTATTTCATTAAATTCCAAACAAATGCAAAAAACAAAGACAAATACTCACAAAATAAGAACGCAAATGATTATTTTAATCCACAGTTGTCATTAATTTATTTCTAACTAGAGTAGACAGAATTCTATCAACAACAGCTCGATACCAGAAATAAATTAGTTGAATAATTACAAGGAAAGGAATATGCCAGAGGTGGAGAACCTTTTTACCATGAAATTAGGCAGTGATAAAGAGGCTACATAAGTGATAAGGTGGTGTATTTAATCACGGCAAAGCACACTAGGGCTATCTGCCTAAGGGGAGAGATGCCTTCGTGGAGGACTTTCTAAGGGAAACTGGCTCGTATACATGTTACACATGGGAAAACCACAAAAACACCATGCAGCCAGCCCGTTCGCGGGATTCGAACCTCGGACCGAACTACCAGTGTTTAGCGACTTTAACCGCTCGGCCGCTAGTGGGCCTCATAAGTTATAAAGGACACATTTAAATTAGGCTGATTTAAAGGAGGCCACAATAAGTTGATATACCTTTAAATGCGATTCTTGTGAAATTAATATAAGTTTTTGTATAGTTTTATCACTTTATTGCATTATATAGAAATAATGAAACAAAATTAAAGTCATTTATTAAAATAAAAATTACAATATAAAAATATTTTTGGATTCACATAAATAACAACATATATTTATTCTTTCGAATAAAAATAATAAAGTAGAAGTATTTTTCAATATATTTATTACATTATAAAGAAAACAATAGAAAGTAATGATATTACATTATAAAAAGTCAACATAGCAATAGTACGTAAAATAATGTTAAAATCCGATGAAATATTAATTTAATGGGATATCTGCATTTGTTTCTTTCCTGAAAGCGATTGAATATTTGGATCAAACTTCGTAACCCGCCTTAGTATACCCTCTACATGAAAGTCTGTAATTTGCATTCTTAAACTAGTTTTGATTTTTGTCATGACAGAAAATGTTGACTCGCAGCAGTAAGTACGTCCACAGCAGGAAAGTAAACAGTGTGCATGGTTTCGTAGGCATGAATACTCAACAGCATTTTGCCAGATTTCTATGGGATCCTTTTTAGTGTCAAAAAGCCATTTGAGGATACTATCTTCCTGCAACTCAAATAACTCCATTTGTAGTTCCATAGAAGCTTTGGATATATCTATTAAATGTGGTTCAAATGCCAGTTTCATAGCAAAAGTGTGCTCGTCAAAAATCTGAAAATCAGTATATTCTTCTATTAAAAAGTCCAAGACACTACATATTCATCAAATGTTTTATTTTTACATTTTTGCTCATTCAATATTTTTGCTAGTTCTGGAATTCATGATGACGCATTGCATCTACGGAAATATAGTTCAAAATCAAAACAGTTTTATCCAGAGTATCTTGCAAAATGGTTATTTTTGAAAAAAAAAAATTGCTGATGCAAAATACAGTGAAATATCAATTTTTTCACGTTTTCTTTTTTTAATAAAGCAATAAATCCTTCTCTTTTACCTCTCATGGAAAGTGCATCATTGGTGCAGATACTGACTAAATTACTGATATTTAATTGTTGTCGATGGCATAGTTCTTGAAGTTTTTCGAAAATGTTAACTCCGCGAGTTGTTCTAGTGAGCGTACACAGTGCAAAAAGTTCTTCGTAACACTGAAAATTTTTAGTTACAACATGAATAAAATACAAAACTTGCACGAATCATTTTTATCAATGCTTTCTCTAAATTAAGCAATGAATTTAAATGCTTTCATCTAAATAAACAATTGAAAAATAAACATCTTCATTTTGTATAACCATACAAAGTTGCTCTGCTACATTTTCAGCTAATTCATGCCGCCGATCTGTTATAGTTCTTGAAAGAGGAAATTAATTGTATTTATCAATTTTTCCTGGACCTAACATACCTACTGCTTCAACAATACATTCTTTAATTATTTCTATGTCGCTAAATGGTCTGCCTTTTTTTCCCAAGTACATGTGCTATTTTATAAGTAACAGCAAATACAGTGGTATTTTCTTTACAAAAGCATTAAAGTCACCTGTTGATGATGCTTTTCATTTTTCAATTTGTGAACTGCAGTCTGATGAGATTCACCTTCTAAATTGAAATATTTACATTCTTTACGAGTCAAATAGTGTTTATTTGCATTTGCTTCCTTCAAAGTAGTCAAAACTGTATTGCACAATAAACTCATCATTTTATCTTTCACAAAAGTAAAGAAATAATCTAATACTCTACACTAAGCATTTGATTTTCTTCTCTTTCAGTTTGACAAGATATATAGTATCTTTAAAAAAGCATATACTTACTAAAATACAATAAAACCGTGTATTAGTAAAAATTCAGAACAAGTAAAACAATAACTAGATTTTCAGAATGGCCTATAGCATGTAGGGTTTATATTTATTTTAACTAACATTTATTTTAAGTTTAAACTATCTTTCCTGTCAAGCCTTACTTTCCCCTGGAATTGCCAATGCCAGAGTATGTAAATTTTAGTAGAACGCGCAAGGATTCAAATTATCAGCGGAAGTATTCTGAGTTAATAGAGGGAACGAGTTCGAAGGTGTGCTTTCTGCTCACGAGCGTGGAGGTGCTAGTTCGAATTGAAGAACCACGCTTTCGGGCCTTGTGGCTTGCCTCGGAGTTTGTTAATCTTTCAATTAATATTCAGAAGTATGCTAAAGATCAGCGGTATTTTAGAACGCGGTGAGGTTAGTTACGTTTAGAGAGCCTCATAGTTAGTCACTTGTACTATTCTTTCTTAGTTTCTTATTTTTATTTTACCCCGGGTCGGCGTAGTTGTGAGCGTCAAGAGCACGCATTTGTAATTTCTAAAGTTGAATAAAAAGGGATTTAAACCCTTCTCAAGACTTTGGTCTATTTCCAGTTGTCAGCAGTCACCACTTTGTTGCGTGCAGGTTGGAAGCGCGCAACATTACAAGCAATACGAGACGGGACTGTTACAAGCACGCACAAATAACTACAAATCACCAACTCTGCAACATGTAAGGGAATGCTGAGGGGTGCGGGGCAGAGGGAGAAAAGTAGGTACTGTCTCTCTCACAGAACAGCCACCCTCACGGTACCTGGTGGCAGTTGCTGTAGCAAAAGGGTTAGTATATTTCAAGTAAGGGTGAGCCATGGCCAAAAATAAGAACAAAAAAAAAGAATTTCTATTGTTGGACGTTGGAAAACTAAAACATGCATCAGAATGACAATAATTTCAGACTATGAAGGACTGCTAGAACTGCAACACTGCAGCATTCTAATGCATGTTATGCTCAATACATGACAGCATGTTAGTTAATTCTATTAACTTTTAAATTGTCATAATCTATATAATTAAATATTAATTAATACAAGAGCTAGAGGTCGCATAAGAAACTCAACGAGGTTGCACCTCTGGATTTCCTCCTCTTGTCCCCCACCTCTAAAATACAATTTCAGTTTTTAGTTTTCTGAACAAAATCTTTCAATATGGGAAATATCTTTGTTAGGAAAGAATTTATCAGGGATGCTTAGTCATTTGGAAATTACCAATTTGCATAAATTCAGATTATTTTAGAGTACTTGGAGAGGAAAAGAAACTGAATATGTCAAAAGGAAAATTGCTGAATTGATGTTCATTCTTCACACTCATTCAAAATAATGTCATATAGCACTAATGAGGTGAAAAAACAGATGACCACATTGGCACACAATATCACTAGAACCCTATAAATCAGAATGTACCACTGAAAGAAAGCACATTCAGTTGTATTTAGTTATAATTTTTCATTCATAAATAAGACGCTAACAGCACTAATTTTATATGTTTTAGAATTAAACAGCAAAACATTATAAGACCACCATATTTTTAAGACACCACAATATTTAAAGACATCGCATGTTTAAGAAACTAACAAGTACATAAAATAAAATGGCTGCTTCTTTCAAATGTATAGTAAGAAACACTATACATTTCAGTAAAATATATCAACTATACCAAAATTTAAGCACAATTAATTGTTTAAACAAAAAAAATTGAACATAATTTACCGATATGCTTCTAGTCCTCTGTATTCATTATTCATGTCTGGATTAGGATCTCGTATGAAATCGTTAAACGAAAGGCGACCAAGACTTTTCTGCACTAGCTTACAGTATGGAGTATGAAACAACATAGCATCTAAGTCTTTCAGGGTAAAGCCCATTTTATCTGAAAATAAAAAGTTTTAATCTACACAGATATTTTAAACAGAAAATCCAATATCTGAATAGTAAAGATGATGCAAATTAAATTTTATGCTTTAATTTAACAGAAAATAAGTTACTAATGACACATAAAAATTGAATTTATATCATCAGCACTATGCCAAAATCACAAATCTAGAACTTCGCCATTAACAGAAAAGGGCATTTAAATGTTTTGATATGCATTTGATTTTGAGAAATTTCAAGTTACAGACTTATGTTACATTAATTCTTTTATGTGTTCTCTTTGCAAGCCTCATATGTGTCATTGTTACGTAATCCATAAAATCACAACTACTGAAAACCTAAGAAAATAACTGAAATATTTAAGTACTTCATATGTACTGATACTATAGTCTGACAACTTAGAAAAGAGCTTTGATCTATAAAAACTTCAAAATAAATTTATCTTCATAATTAGTAAAGAGGTTTTTGAATTGCTTCTCAAATTATGACTTGTATTCCTCTTGCTTCAGAGGCATTCAAAAACAGTCTTGTGATATGTATATAAGCTACATTATTTTTCAATAGTCATTCCTTTGTTCTATTTATCAAAATTATGAAGTGCAATGAAAAAATTTCATTTGAGGTGCTGTGGCAATGTGTAATTAAATTATAATGTCCAGATTGAAGATATACAAGAGAGTGATCTAGAAATGTAAAGGCATGTGATTTTCATCCCTCTTCTCTACATCTCAAGAAGTTCAAGAGCGAGCTGAAAAAGTGTTAATCACTCTGTCCTCTGACAGCCACAGGTCACTTTTCGAGCTGACACACAGCACTGAGAAACTCCGTAGAGTTTATCATGAGAAATTAAAGTGAAACATCTAGCAAACTTCACAATGGGGTTATCTTATGCCTTTCTTTAATAATGATGATTTCAGTTGGAAAATAATGCAAAGGCGGCCATATCAGACCTTTTAATGCAGTACACACAAACAGTGGCGGCTCGTAATAAGCACTGTGGAGCTGCAGTACCCCCTATTTCCAGTTATTATTATTTTCAATATTTAATATAGTGTTTCTCTTTAGTCGTTAATTCTTTCTTTATACTTTTACAATACATATTATTTAAGCTTAATGTCAGTAGCCATCCCCCACTTTCTGAGAAAGGCACAAAAGTCTTTGGAACTGCACACTTCAAAGTTCCAGCAACGTGGTGTTTGGCTTTTCTACGCATGCGGACACAGAAAGCAGCACGCAAGCCGGGCAGAGAGAATAGCACTGTCGCTCTTGCAGTGCCAAAATTCTGGCATGTTGTTGAAAACGTGATTTCTTTTTACTCCACGCGTGTGGTATTCCTCCACAAGGAACTTCATTACGGATCATAAACAGAGTTCATGAAAATTTGGCACCTTTAAAAAATTGCATTACTGAAATTCAATCAACATCAAATGCAAAACAACAACAACAAATGAAACAATTGTTCTTATTACAAAAGCAACAGGAATTTTAAAATATCTAATTGGGGATAATTTCAAGTTTTGGTTAGAGCTTTTTTTATCAGATGCCTCATGTTGAAATAATATACAACTAAATGCAATCCAGAGAAATTAGTGTGTTTAAAGTTAACGAATATATAACAAATTTCAAAACTGCTATTTTAGAATTAAGAAACTCAAAGTACTGTGAGAATTTTTGAAAGACACTGATGGCAGAAGCTAAGGAAATATGTGACTTTATAACTATGTATTGATATAATGCGCAGATATTCTTCCACTAAACATTTAGCAGTTGCTAAACTGTTAAACAAGAAATGCTTCGCTAGTTTTAGGAATGAACATTCTACAGAAGAAATAGTACTGACCACTGAAGCATATTCAATGATTGATAAAAAAAAAAAAAAGCTTGAAACTGAGCTAAAAGTACAAGGTTGTTCAATAAGTTCACGGAGCGCCATCTATTCATCAATATTAGACCTAAAACTTGAAGCCATTTTAATTGAAGCCATTTTTATACTTGTTCTTTCTTAGGAACACGTCAAAAGTTTCATTTCAATCTGTTAATTTATTCATTGTTTAACTGCCCTTTATGTCTAACGTGTTGTGCCTTTTTTCAGGTATGGATAAAATTGAGCAACGTGCAGTTATCAAATTCTTTGTAAAGAAAGGTTTAAAGGCAATGAAAATTCATACCGAAATGGTGAATGTGTTGGGTGAATCTGCTCCTTCAAAAACAATGGTTTGCAAGTGGGCTAGTTTATTCAAAAGTGGTCGTACCAGCCTTGAAGACGATCCGCGAGAGGGACATCCAAAAACTGCATCAACACGGGAAATCATTGGAAAAATACAAGATATGGTATGGAAGACCGTCGATTGACTGAAAGAGATTTAACAGAGGCTTTAGAAATTTCATTGGGCACAGTGAGCAATATTTTTGGTGTTAATTTGGGTTTCAAAAAACTCTGTACAAAATGGGTGCCGCATTCTCTAACGATGGAGCAAAAACACATTCGGATGAGACTTTGCCAGCAAGATTTGGAGCGCTTTAAGAAAAACAAAAGCGACTTTATCCGTCGATTTATCACAGTGGATGATACTTGGGTCTACCATCATGATCCTGAATTAAAACAGGAGGCTAAGGAGTGGTGTGAACCCGGCTCTTCGGCGTCGAAGCGAGTTCGTGTGCAAAAATCAGCCAAGAAGGTGTTAGCATCAGTTTTTTGGGATGCAAAAGTAGTTTTCTTTATAGATTACCTTCAAACTGGCAAAACAATCAATTCGGATTATTATTGTAACCTTTTGAATCAATTAGACGAAAAAATTCGTGAAAGAAGACCCAGGATTACAGAAGAAGAAAATCATTTTCCACCAAGATAACGCACCTGCGCACACACAGCTCAAAAAACCATTGCTAAAATAACTGAATTGAAGTACGAATTGTTGCAACATCCAGCCTATTCGCCAGATTTAGCTCCCTCCGACTTCTGGCTCTTCTCCACACCTCAAACAATATCTCGTAGAAAACGATTTTCTTCAAACGAAGAGGTAATAGCTGCCGTGGAGGGATATTTTGCAGAGCTGCCGAAAAAAACCACTACAGTCAAGGGATCGATAAAAATTAGAAGATCGTTGGAATAAGTGTACTTGAAGTTGAGGGAAAACTACGTTGAAAAATAAAGTCATTTTTACAAATAAAAATTGGTTTCTTCATTTTCGTTCTGTGAACTTATTGAACAAACATGGGTATAGATCTTCTTGTAGCTCTGCATAACTCCATTTTCATACTGCCAAATTAATTGAGCTATCCTTCGAAATTTATCATCGAAAATAATCTAGATGTTCTTAGTGAAATTGCGAAACTGATAAAAATTCTCTTGAGAGTTCCCATGACTACATCAGAGGCAGAACGCTGCTTTTCAACATTGAAAACAATGAAAACTTTTCTAAGGAGTACTAGGAATTCGGAAAGACTAAATGCGCCTGCATTGCTTCAATAAAGAAAAATTTCCTCAGTTCTCATCCAGAGATCAAGGAGAAAATTTTGATCTTTTCGCGCAAATTAAAACAAGAAGAATGGATTTCATTTTTAAATGAATAGACAAACATTGAAATGTAACAATTTTGGTTAAAGTAATTAAGAAATGTTTAATTTTTTTCTTGCAAGATTTCATGAAGTTTCAAAATAAATTTTCTTTTTATAAATGTTTGTTTCCTTTTAGACAATTTTAAAACAAAGGTTAAATTTTTTTGGAACAGCACCCCCACTAATTTTAGCCACGAGCCACCACTGGATACAAATATTCTAACTGAAAGGCACACCAAATGACAATGACAATAGGACAATTACATTTAATGTTAGCAGCAATTTTAATTAAATTGATGTAATTTATCAAAGCACAGAACAATAACAGAGAACTTTTTGATTGCCCTTTATGCTTGCCAACTGCCAGTTAATCTGACTGAATTTTTACAAAGTCAGCACAGAATCATAAGTTAGCTAACTTCCCTTACATAACAGCCTCCTCTCAAAATAATGATTTTCTACACAGATCTTTCTCTAAGTTGTCAGAGAGTGCAGAATATCATCGCAGAAATATTAATCTCCCCCCAAAAATAAAATTCTTCAGGAAAACTTTGAGGGAATATGAAAGAAGGAAATAGGTTGCCTCAGATAATAATATGCTTACCTTACTTCCTTCTATCTTGTACATTACAACCTTGGGAGAAAATAAAAGATAATACAAATGAGGATCTCATGTATTAAAATATATATATTACACACACAGGCAAAAATGCTGCCTCTGAAAGCTATATTGTAAGTTATGTGGAAAAAAGTACACACACACACACACATATATATATATAAACAATATATGTATATATATGTATATAAGCAGTGAAATAAGCACTTGTAATTTCTGAGAAAAGCTAGAAACTCCATATAAAATGTTTTTATCTAGAAAATGAGCAAACAAATATACAGTAAAGTAACATTGGAGAGAGTGGATCTCCCTCCTGAATTGAAAAGTTAAAAATGAAATTTGTGTATATCTAATACATCTCTTTAAATGAAATTCACATAAAAATCTAAATATGTGAGAATTAGTCCTTCAATGATTACAAAAGGTTTAGCTCATAATTACTGCAACAACAAAAAGCTGAAAGCAGTTATACATTAATTACACAGAGGAGATAACGCTGGAGTTTTAAAAAGTATAGATCATTATAAAACATTTCCCTTTAAATTTTTGCATCAGCAAATAATAAAAAAATTATCTGTAAAATATTAAAAACAATATAAAGAATACTAATATACTACACTTTGATCTTAGCCAAAAGGCCGAGAAGCGATACTAATATACTACTCCTATTTCTCAATTTGCTCTATACCTCAAATATTTACTTACCATCAGCCTTCATTTTATTCCAGTATTGAATTTGTATAGTGCCACCTTTTTTATGGCCAATGTTGAATATTTTCAATGCTATTAAAAAACTGGAAGCTTTTTTTACATTATTTAAACACATATGGATTATTGTTTAACTGGATAAAAACATAGCTAAAACTTCCTTACCTTTAGATTTATAAAACTTTCTGCTTTCCTGCAAAATCCTTCATAGCATTTATCTAGTGCTTTAGCATATCTTTGGACAGACAGCTTTCCATCAACAGTAGGATATTCGCTCATTAAATTAGGTTTATAAAAATCATATACATGTTCCATATAAGTTGAACACAAGCCTAAAAAGATTTCTTTATTAAATATAGTAACTCAAAAGCAATCTAAAAACATAACAAAAAACCTTATTTAACACAATAATGAAACAAATGTCCGTTGAAAGTCTTGAGAAATTGGCATACAGATAGTATTCAATTAAAAATATTAAAGTTTGAAATATGTCACACTTTTAACTACATATTAAGCTGCATATGTTTCCTTTAGATCTCTTATAAACAACGACCAGATAATATAGTCTTTTAAAATTTCAAGTTCTTCACGAAACAACTTGATATCAGAACCCTGCAAAACTGTCTGTCATTTATTCAGTTGCCAACATTTGGGGAAAAAACTAGAAATAAATAATCATTTTTAAATGATTAAATTAGCTTCAACTAACAGTGAATGATTCAATCTATCTACAAACTATTTATTCCAATGGAGACAGGAGTTTAGTTGAAAAAAAATCTTTTTAATTACTGTTTTACGTATATTCAATAAAATTTTCAGCCAAAAATATTTGGATTAATATTTTATAGAAAAGAATACAGTACAAAGTCCGTAATCCGGACTCGTCGGAACTTCGCCGATTCCGGATTAGGGGTTTTTCCGGATTATAGATCATCAATTTAAATCTGGTAAGATGACATGCATAAATTATACAATTAAAAATATGAAACCGAAATTTATGAAATAAAGAGCAATTATGATCTAAAGGGTATCAAAATTTACAAAAAAAAGCTTAATATGTATTTGTTTACTTTATTAAACATTTCTTTCAATGTAAGTTGTTTAAGTTGCTTCGTTTTTTTGTGCTAATACTTTCTCTTTAATTCTCTATTCTATAAACAGACATAATTTCTTGTTCAGTTACAAAGCTCCACTGTTCAAATCCTGTAATAGCTGTGTCGAGAATACCAACTTGTCAATCGAAATTTTTCCGTTTTCAATAACAATAACATTCAATAACTTTTCTTTCTCAGTCACTTTCTTCACTACCGGAAGTGTGCATGTGTAAACGCTTTACTGGCTTAACGTACATGCGTAGCGAATGGTAAGTTCCTGGCTTTGAGGTCCGAATTATAGATCATTCCGGATAATGGAAGTCCGGATCACGGACTTTACTGCATAACATACAAATATAAGCAAAAAGGCTATCTACTATTCCCATTTTCTTTCTTCCCATCAACCCCCATAAAAAAGGGGAAAAAAAGGATTAGCTCCATCCAAGCCATTTCAAAATGACTATTCAAGCACTCTTTTGGGGATCAGCCTAACAGATTAACTCCAAAAAACTCTTTATACTACCTATTTCATATATCTTATTTTAAAATTCGAACTTTTATCCCCCACTAATCTGAAACTACGATTATTTATTCCAAGGCTGTGAAATATAAAAAAGTTTGCTTCGTTTAAATACTTTAAGAAACTTATAACTTTTATAGCTTTCAAAAAGTCCTTGCTTGCCCAGAAAGAAAGGCTTCTTTCTATATTTTCTGACACAAGAATCTTTTAGGTTTTAGTTAAAAGACTCTCAAATGGACATCACATTAAATGGAAGATAAATTTACAGAAGATTAAAAAAATAAATCTTAGCCCTTTACGCAAAATATAAAAGTATCACATAAATCTAGCAATAGCCATGTATATTGATATTGCTTCAAACAAATTGCATACAAAAAAACTAGAAAGCCATGGTCACATTAAATTCAAAGTAACTTCTAGAAAAAAACAGTGCCAATTTATGTGACAAAGTAATGCTTTTAAACTTCAATTTACATTTTTAGGTTAAAATAACATGCCAGACCATGATTAATTTAGAAGTCAGTGTTATATTTGCAAACTTTCCTATAAAATTTCTGGAAAATTTGAAAATATAACGCTGATTTTTGTTGTTTGACTTCTAAATTAATTCATTTTACATATTACTGAACTTAAAGAAAAATGCATCTGTTTCAGTCTTATTTTTTAAATCAACTAATTTTCCTCAAGTTTAAATTAAAAATAAAATTATAAACATTACAAAAACACTTTATGTTAAGGTTTTTAAATATTTTTAAAGTTATTTATAAAAATATTTTTATCTTGTAGAAGGTTCATTCCTTCTTTGTTACGATATTTCAAAGTAATCTTGGTGAACAAAATGCCAATAATTAGTCTTCTTCTTTCTGTTCAATGTTGCTTTAATATTTTAAATATCTAAATGAAAAATTGATGTATTTCCTTCTCCAGCCTTTTGTAATCAATACACCAACATTTAAGGGGCCAGGCACTTTCTAATTGTTTCCCCTCAGTTTAACTATCTGACATTTACTAGTGTCATTTGCAAAGATACTTTAGCACGCTTCCTTTCTTACCCATTCAAACAATTTAATGAACTACAAAAATTTATACTGTGTTAAAAGGAGAGAAAAACAGCAAAGCAAATTCATGCAATAAGGTTTATAATATATTACAAATAATTGAATTATGAAGCTGGAGAATGAGGGAGCCATGTTCTAAACATTCCTACCAGACAGAACAATACTAAAGGCAGCAAGTAACTTTTCATACCAACACACTTTCACAAAACTAGCTCGATATAGCAGGTTTCTATATGCAAAATTTACTCAGAGACCTACAGTACTGCACTAAAGTCATGTTGCATGTAGTTGAACCAATTTATACTTTAAGAGGGTTCTCATGAAGAGCTCCCCCCCCCTTCAAAGCTGGCAATAAAGGATTTCTACTTGATGTCTATTTCCCATTGCTGACTGATGATAGTAAGCTATGTATGCATGGCAAAGGGGTTGCATTCATGCCATCTTGTTCCTTTAATGGCCCTATTTTTATTTAGCAATTAGAAACAACTGCTGTTGGAAAAGCTCTTTAAAGTTGCTCATGGCAAGCGGTTAATGGCTCTTTGAAGCTGTTACCACCAAGGTGACACCAAAGTCAATGTTTATTGCTACTCAGTTAGTATGGAGTAATGAGAGGATGCCTCAGACAATCAAGTCGAAAGTGGTGAATTTCAAGCTAAAGCAATAAGTCATTCACCCCTTTTTTTTTTTTTTTTTTTTCTTTTTACATAGAAAGTGATGTCACTGCATATGCAAAACTCCCAGACATGATGAAGTTGACACAGAGTTGTGCAAAATTATTCAATCTAATGAGGTTTTTGTCACCAACTGTTGGCCAGAAGTACAGAAGTCACAGAAAAACACTTAATAAGACTAGTAGTGCATTATACTCACAAATTACCCTTGGAAATTACACAAAATTTGTTAAATACGGTGAGTTTTCCTTTTGATTAGATAAAACGGGAATTATTTTAATCAGAGTTCTAAAACTGGTTGATCAAGAATAACATCCAAAACTACTCAACAGGCATCGATAATGTAGATTTAAAAAGAAAAAAAAGTTCCTTTAAAAAAAGTTCCTTTTTTTTTTCTTTGCTTCAATTCTAAATTCTCTAATACAGTTTCAATTTATCTATCTGCATGTAATTATGCACATAAATAAAAAGAACTATGCTGCAAACTTCAAATATCACTAGAATGAAATAATTTTCCACAAAACACATCAATAATTAACTATTTAAAGTTATGTTACCTCTTTCCAATATAATGGGAGCATTGGGTCCAATTAACATTGCTACTGTTCCAGCCCCACCAGTGGGTTGAGCATTACCTTCTGCATATACTGCTTTATCACCAGTAACAACCAGAGCATAACGACCTATTGAATAAACAGTTTTAATGAAAATATTTGTTTCACTTCAATTTATCATTATAATTCTCAACAACTGGAAAAAGAATCTAAAAGCGGCATATGAAATTCATTTGGTTATTCAAAAGACGTTTTTGATAACAAAGCAATTGTACAAAAAAAAATCTCTATGTGCAGTGATTGTAGAAATTTAATCATTTATAAAATACTTATCGGGTTTCTATTTTAATAATATTTCTTCTCTCTTTATATTAATATTTCTAAAACCTATTTCTTCCTTAAATAGGATTGCTTTCACACATTATTTTGAAACTAAACAATCACATAAAATATACTCTCTTAAATATTGATTTTTTTTATAAAAGTTGTATATATTACAACAACAATGAAGGTACCCTTTGAAATTCCAAAATATTTTCCCTGGTTTCATCTTTTTCCTCTTGCAAGGGTGGAATTGCATGTTTGTTGAATGTTTATGAAATACTAATTCAATATTCAGCTGTAATATTGTGTATGTCAGCATACTCTAAATTCTCTCCATATATATATGCATGTATGATAATTTAGTTGTGGATGACAGAAAGCACCCATTAACTTTTCAGTTATAGCTGGAATAGTGATAACCATAGCAGACATACAGATTGCATATTAAATGGCTGGAACGTCAGAAAACACAACTATCTTGATTGTCAAAACATCACTTTTTTTCAATAATTTCTCAATTTGTCAATAGTTTCTCAATTAATAACTTAAAACACCTATCTTTGTTAATAACACTATGGGTGTGTATCACATCTTTAAAGTCACATTGTTTCTTAGGGGCAAAAAGCAGCTGGGATATTTATAAACTATGCTCCTTTGTTTCGGTTTTGAATAGTGACTGGACAACAGCTGTACAGCACTGCTGATCATTGCAGATGTAAGTGACGCAATACAGATTCTTTGAAGGGGATATAGCTAAATTAAAGTTAAAAGGCCTGTTGCCAAATTATGTTAGTAATTTGTTAGTAACTTTGTAAGGATCTTAAGTTTTACTAACGTTTATTTTATTTTAAATCTTTACTATCACTTCTTATTTTCTACTTCCGGCCAGAATTAAAAGCTTTAACTTATTTATGCAAATTTGTCTTGCGAACGCCAAGTACTTAAGTTGTGGCTTTTGCCAAGCAAGAGAGAGGAAGGAGTGATTAGGGAGCAGGCCGCTTGCCATAGCAGTTTTACTCGGTTGCTGGTTGCCTTCAAGGCCAGAGGTTTAATCCTCTTGATAATTTTAAACGTATCGTAGTTTTAACAGTTCTCTCTACTACATACGGATTTCTGTTAATATACGACCAATCTTCAAGTAGACACTTGTTTATTAATCCAAAGTTAGTTTTAGTTAGAATTTAGTTAGTATTTTTATATTCTTACGTTCAGACCACAAGTGGTTGGTCTCTGTATTCCGAAGTCCGGAAATCATTGTAAAGAGAGAAAAATAAAGGGTTTCGTATACCCTTCCTGTGTATCTTGTCTACTTCCCACATTTATTGAACATAGCTTTAGTAAGCTCCCTGTCCCGAGTCAGGTTCTTGAATGTTCCCAAAGCAAACAAGGAGAAACACTGAACCTGATAACTTTCTTTCACATTTTATACCATATTTGTGTGTAATATATCAAAATATAAAGAAATATTTACCATCAAATTAAACTTAATTGGAATGGTCCTTTAAATTCTTAATTTTAACTGTGCACATACCCTCTTCAAGGCTCTACTGCACCATGTTATATCACGCTTCCCTTGCAGTAACTGCAGTGCGAAATCATTTACCCAATCAAGTTCTCAGGGTTAAAACAAAAGATTTTACAAACTTATAAGTACTACTGCAATAATTACGCATCACTATTTTATTGTTTGCTCTGCCAAGGAAAGTCACGTCTCTTCGATAAGTTTCTTTTCTATTACCTAAACTGTATACAGAAATAATATGACCCATTTAGCACCCCCAGTGTTATACCAGTTTAAGCAAAATGTATTTCTGAATAACTATCTTGTTCAAAATAAAAATGATGTTTTAGCCATGAAGGCCAGGTGTGGTTTTTGCTCCAGTGAGCTTTATAATGACTAAAAGAGGAACTGGTTTCAACTGCTGCAAAACCTACAATATTACAGATGTTATATATATATACATTAATTTTAATTTCTTTTCTGGCATCAATTTGTACCTAAATTTGTATTTAAATACTTACTTTTGATTTTGCGTTTAAATCTAAAAGAATATATTAATTTGTACATATTTCTATTGTTTTCAAATATCTTTTGTACACATTTCAATTATTTTATATTTGTATAGGTCCCAATAGTGTTTTATTATTTTTACTATACTGTGAGAATGTTGGGAAATGTTTTTTCTAAAGTGAGATCTTGCTTGATTCACCTCTTAACAAGGACCTTAAATTAAAACGAAAATCTTACTCATTTTTTCAGTTTTGTTTATGACAAGTATTTTGGTTCAAGAAGAATAATTACCTTTCTCTTTTTTGAGTTTTGTTTGTAGCTTATGATTTTACTCTAGCAAAATAACTAATTTGATCCTTACTTGGAAAAACATTCTCACTTAATTTGGCTTTTGTTATTTGATAGAGGATTGGTTTGTTCCCCTTGACAAATCAATTAATCTACAGTCAATAATAATTGCTACTTTGTTAATACTTTGAATTTTATGGTTTAATTTTACATTTTAGAATTTTTCAGTTTAAAAATAATATTTCTATACAGCTTATTTAAATATTTTATACAATAGAAATCTAAATTACTTATACTTAAAATACTGACTCAAATTTGTTCCAATAATTCATCGCATTAATTGAATTTATGTTCCTTGGAGATGATACATGAAAAACTTTTCTACACACACTTGTATATATATATAGATATATACAGACTGATCCAGTATTCATCATCAATATTTGGTGGGGAGGTAGGGAATGGGAAAAGAAGGAGATTTCACATAGGAAAGTATGGGCGCAGACGATGCATGGTGGTGTAAAGGTACAACTTCCATACATAAGCACAGCTGTTTGACGTGTGCAGCCAGTCATCATTCGACTAGGTGACTTTGCAGAAGTAACATAAACCGGTATACGTGGAATGAACTTGCAGATATGCATGTGAATGCCAGGCATATTTCAGAAAGTCCGGTTGTCCATGCAACGCCATTGTGAGTCATGCATTCTAGCACATGGTCAGCAGTTAGAGCACCTCTTGTAAGTCTGTAAAACCAATGCAAAGAAATGTTACGCATCACTATTTTATTGTTATGTACAATAATAAATGTTTTTTTCCTTACTACTTCCTTCTTATGTGTTCTTTCCATCATTGAACTAGAGTCATTTTGCCCTACTACATGGCATATGCGCCCATGCATTCCTACGTGAAATCTCCTTTTCCTATTCCCTACCTCCCCACCAAATATTGATGATAAATTCTGAATCACTCTGTATGTATAGATATATACATACAGGGTGATTCAGAATATATATATTATAAATAGGTAAAATAAAATGTTAACTTTAATTTGCAATAGCCGTTTAAAAGTTTTCTTATTTAATGGTTATTTCCCCTTTCTAATGGTTATTTTACTTTTCAATGGAAAATGGTCTTAAAAATAGTAGCTTGCTAATCATGAACGTCTCTAAACTGTGCCATTTCAAAATGAATCCTTCTCATAAGATTTCTTACATAATTGCACATGATGCACATGTTTACATAATTCTTCAGCCAACGAAAAGGCTAAAAAACAATGACCTGAACCATTACAGCCAATAAGAATAAACTTACTAAAACTAAATGATTCTCAATCAAGCCTTCATACTAGAAACTAGGCATTCCTGCTCTCACTTCCTCAGCTGGCAACATGTGGCAGTTGACCTCTTTTGTTTTTCAATTCAACTTGTTTAAATGAATATACTAGCATATAAAGGATATCCACTCGAAAAAAAAAAAAAAAAAGAGAGAGAGGAGCCTTGGCAGAAGGCTTTCTATGGAAAACTATATATTTACGCTACGTATAGTAAAATCATGATATACAATCAGCCCTTTCATTGTTCCCCCAGACTTGCACTTGAAAACAGCTCTTCCACTGAAACTTCAGTACCAATGAAAGTTCAGCAGCATGGCCACTCATCAACAAAAAAATATCACACATAACTGTATGTTTCTCATTTGCATTTAGAAAGTGCTGGATTATGGAGATTGCAAGACCATAAAGCAATAAATTAAAAGAAGTACAACTTAAATATGACTGTGTGATCCACGAATACTTAAAAATCCTTTTCATTAAAAAAAAAAAAAAAAACCTTCAATCTGATGTGTAATCAACATCACTTGAATAATTAGTAAAGTTCTCAGTTTTACAAGATTGCAGCCATTCAGCATTGTTTTTAAACAGAAATAAAGTGTTACAACGTGAAAGTCAATTGGAAGGTATTACATTTTACATAATGAGAAAAGAAAGATCACAAATACAAAATCATATGCAAATTTCACAAGCACAAGTCTCTCATTGTTGTCAAAAAATATACTGCTGCTATAAAATAAAATTTTTCAAGAAACTATTACAAAATTTCCAATAAACGGCATTATTTTATAAGCAGAATTTCACCAAACAAATGAAAAGCAGTTAAGTATAAAACTTTAATTTCTGTTTGTTTAAATTAGGATTTATGGAAATTAACTTAATTATATAATTAAGGAATAAATAAATAAAATTAATCACAACTAGAACAACATATTATTCAATATAGCAACTTTAACACTCTCTTGGGCACATTTGATCTGCAATTTGATCACTTTTGTTTACCCTGTCTCCTTCAAACATTGTCACATCTTCTCCATCCAGTTAATTTCCATTTTCTAAAGCCACTGAAGAAATATAGAAAACAACAGCATCAATCAAAACAGTGGTGCTACTTTGGTAGACGGTTGCACGGATTTTGGCGATGTTTTGGCGATTTTCCTTTGGCGAGTAATGCAACTTATGGTAAACCCATTGCTGGATAAGTTATTTATGGTAACCGATACTTTGTTGTCATTTTATTTAAAAATAATGCGTTTTATTGTGCATAAATTCCGTGTTTAAAATATATTTATGGCTTTTAAATAAAAATCATTTAATTTGCATTTTTATTTGAAATAAAAATTTTACTGTTTAATCATATTTATGAAATTTTATGTTGTGGATGATGTAATCAATGACGTCACCTTACTTTAAAAGTAATTCGTTTTAATATGTATAATTTAATCTAATGTTTTAACATTATTTATGGCTCTTAAATATTAAAATACAATTTAATTTTGCATTTTTTTAAAAAAATGATTTTATTATTATGAATTTTAAATAATTTTAATTCTAGCCGTGATGTATAAGCTCTCTGATTGGTTATAGAATATTTGTGATTGGCGAGCTGTAATCAGCTCCCTGATTGGTTACTGACAATTTGTGCATTTCCCGCGCCGTTTTAAAATTTAATTCATATCTTCGAATTCCTTCAAAGATGTTATCTAAATTATGATTCTGATTTTTATTGTGGTACTTCGTATAAGAATAGGTTAAACACTCAAAAAAATGTAAGTACATATATTTCTTTTATTTTAAATTGTATACTTCAATTTTTTGTTAAAAAATTAATACACTATTTTCAGAATTGCTGAGATAATTATTGTCCATATGTTTTAATGTTAATTATATTCTATACGTATTTAAAGTATTTGAATTAGTAATATTCTAATTCTTTTAAATGTTGGTATGATGGTTTTTTAATTCGATATTCAATTTCAGTAATATTTTAATCTAATTAAACGTTGGCACAATGTTTTTTTATAGCGGTGTTTTTATTCTCTTCTTTGCTATATGAAAGTAATATAACCTTACTTTAGTATTTTATACCATGTAAGTTTTATTTACTTGCTGTATAAAAACGACTTACTTGTAATTTACATATTATTTTTTTACTTTCAAACTGACTAGCTAAAAAGCTGAAAGATGGACGTTTGGCCAAATTGGAATAACCGCAAAAGGAATTACGTGCACAAAACAGTCAGTGCCACCGAAATTATCGTCGCAGCAGAAGCAATCAGCACTAGAATATGACTGCAAGAAGTGCGGAAGAAGGCACAAATATCGGGACTGTCCAGCTTTCGGAAAGACGTGTGCGAAATGCAAAGTAAAGAACCATTTTGCCGCGAGGTGTCCCAAGAACATTTATGAAGTTGGAATACCAAATAATGAACTTAGTATATATAATGAACATAGTGTATTTGTTGACTCTGTAATGATAGATCCACCAGTAAACGGGCATAGTGAATTTAAAATAAGTGCAAAATCAATCAAAGATCTAACAAATTCTATTGATGAAGTAAATAAGGATATTCACAAGGTAAGTGAAACATGGGTGAAAAGTATTACAATGTATGTAAATAATAAGTATTTCAAGGTTGATTTTAAGTTAGATACTGGTGCAGAAGTAAATATTTTGCCTTTGTATGTTTTAAATAATGTTAAACTTAAGCCTAAACTTAATGAAACTGATTTGTTCTTAACTGCATATGGTAATTTTAAGTTAAAACCAGAAGGTACTCTTATAATTAATTGTTCAACTGAAAGGCTTAAGAATGTACCTTTACAGTTTTATGTTCTTGATGTAAGATCTAAGCCTATATTAGGGTTAACAGCTTGTTCTGCATTAAAGCTAATTGAAAGGATTGATTCCTTAAAGTGCAATATCATTAATAAAAATGATTTAATTGCTCAGTATAAAGATGTATTTACAGGTACAGGGCAATTTCCTGACGAACCATATCATATAACCCTTAAAGATGATGCAATACCAGTAATACACCCCCCCAAGACGTGTTCCTCAGGCTTTACAGCCTAAATTAAAAGATACTTTAGATAAACTTGAAAGAGAAGGGATAGTATCGAAAGTAAATAAACCA